ACATTATCACAGGATGGCACTCACAACTGATGTCATATGGGCTTGCCACGTATTTGTCATGCTTCTTCTGAAGTTGTATTTGGTATTAAAAGTGCTTATTTTTGACTATTAAATATTTTATTTCACAAGTAATTAAATGCGACTTTATCCTTTTAATGAATTAAGTTGCAGCTGACCACATGTACTGTACACCTTTAACATAAATGGTCATTAAAAATGGGATACACAGTAGATACATATGTGAAACAATGCAGATCATTTAAACATGTGGTTACAAACAAAGATAAAGAGGGAGATTTATTTATTTAAATAGGAAGAGGGTACAATAGTATTAAAACAAGGATGGGAATTAAAATGCTTTTGTCTTGATTATTTTGATTCCCTTAGATTCCTGATCTGGGGGGAAAAAAAAAAAATTCACGAGGTTTCAGCATTGGTGCAACTCTGAGTCTGAAAACAGGGTGGAAATAAAGCAAAAAAAACAACAAGGAAAAAACAAGAAAGGCATACATGTGACTGAACTGTGCAAAAGGTCCACAGCCATTAGTTTGGCGTAATTGTTTTGCAGTGCTCAGCTGACAGAAAAGTATGCAAGCATTGATTAAAAACTGATCTGAGGTCTGAGACATAGAGTTAAGGTAAATGGACAATCTGCAGCTATTTCTTAGTCCCCACCTTCAGTGACTGCAGTTCATGCATTAATTCATTAATGACTGCACCTTAAGGCTACGAGAAACTCTTTAGTGAGGTGTAGAGGGACTGTTGCAATGAGGGTGCTCCAGGTTTTGCAGGGTTCATAGCGCTACAATGTCACATACATAATTTAATGTAATTGGTTACTGAAGAAACATCCATATTGTTGTAAAGCCTACATAGTATGGTGTCTCAGTTAATTGGGCTCCAAGGAGTCTAGTGTTAAACTCATTACACAGCCTTAGCAAGGGATGTCTGTGTCTCTCACTTTGTCTTACTTCTTCCCAGCTGACAAGTCATTTAACTCTGAGCAACCTATTTAAGGTTAGATTTGGAATAGTTCCACGTGCATACAAGGAACATTTATGCAACTTAAAAAAAAAAAAAAAATCTTGATATTGGCAACAGAGTTGCTTTGCTAATGTGTTTAGAGTTGTAATGATTTGTTAACTCTTGTTTCTGATATTCTATATAGTTTTTACCCCTCAGCCATAAAGGGCTGATGGGGTATTGTTGTCACCCTGCCAGGTGGGTGATGTCGACACATTTTGTAAATGCAATAACTGAAGAACAAAGCGACGTACAATTTTCAAATTGACACCATATGTATAGCTACCAAAAAAATCTTGAAGAAGTTCATATCTGTGTGACCTAGACCTTAAGGTCAGAGGCCAAGTTTTCTGAAAATCCTGTGAATGCAAAGCTCATCTTTGGGCTGTCAGACTCCTCAATAATTAGTATTATAATTGTGATATTCTTGTTATTTTTGTCAAGTGTTTGTTTTTAATAAGAAGTTGTACAGTATTTGTCTCATTTTCATTTCAATGCATGCAGATCATTGCTCAGAGCTGCATTTGGATCAAGTATTTAATTTCTGTTTTGGCTGTGTTCATGATGGTTAAAATAACATCTGGGAAGAGCCTGATGGGTTTAGTGAGATTGTTTTGTTTTATTTTTTAAATTTGTGTTTTTTTAAGAACGAATGAAGCCTTTAAAACAGATAATTCTGTGTGGGTGGTCACCAAAAGGACAAAGATGCTGAATTAGACAAATCATGTGAAACCAGCAAAGCTCATTTAGCAAATTTTGGTTCATGCAGCAAACCCTTACTTCCAGAGGCTGTGTTAACCAGTTCAAAAGCTTCTCTAAACACAGATCCTTCTCTTGTTTTGTTTGTGTACATGTTTTTATGTCATTGATGTGGTTTTTCTACCCCAGAGCAAGCTCAGGGAGTCTCTCACAGGAAAGTAAGTGTGGTACTCCTGCCACTGCATCACCCCATGTGCCTTTTGTGTATGTGCGTGCATGCATGTATATGTATGTGCGCACACAGAATAAGCAGAATCCACTACCCCCTCAAGGCTTTGCACATTTATATATGCATGACTTTGCAGTTCATGACACACACTGTACATGCTTGTAGCATAGAAAGCCCTTTTCACCTCACTCACAAGGGCTTCTGTTTTGTGGTTTATAGACAAGCATACCTGAAAGAGATGAATTCATTCCCTCCTACAGCTTATTTGAAATAGTCTGAGTCCTTTGGTGTGCTGCTGTTTACATGTTGGCCTTCAGGCAGCTGCTGTTTTGGATTTTGATGGGTTTTTGTAGCCGTACTAAAAGTCTTGAGTAACATTAAAAAGATATTGTATGTTTTCACACTTCCTGTGTGAGGTGACGGCCCCTATGTTGAGTTGGTGGTGAGCTGAAAGTGTCACACTTTGATGTCTGCGACCGTGTGTCCCTGCAGTTTGTTAATGGATGGAGTTCCATGTGTTGAGCTTTTGCAATGCATGGTAACCCTTTCTAAATCTGATCACAGTGGCAGCGTCTAGTGTACCCCATGTGATTAGATGACATTTGCCGACACTCCCTTAAGCGATGGCTACCAAAGCATGTTTGACTTTGCTGTCATGCCAGTTTTAATGTGTATTTAATTTAAACTACATAAAGATAATTTCTTGTGGCTTCGTTTACACAAGAAACAACTCTTTAGTTTTATCTGTGAGGATATTTTCGGAGTTGTGTGTTCCTGATCTTGATCTTGAAGCCATCTCCAGCCTGTAAGAGTCAATTATGATCAAAGAAGGGTGCTGTTCTAATTTTGCCTGTCTCTTACTGTTGGTCACCATGGAGACAGTCCAAATATTCATACATCTTGCTGTCATTTGCCTCCACAGCTTGACTGCAGTCTGTCCATTTCCATCATTTTAACAGAAGTAAACTGATGGAATTCAGGAGTCCTCACTTTCAAAAATATAAGCTGTTCTCTACATGTTATGTAAAAGGTTTTAAGCTTAACTTCTGTTTTTGTTATTGGAGAATTAGTTCATAGCATAGATGGTTTAAAAGATGGCACAGTTACCATGAAGTCTCGTTCCGAGGCTTTGAAATGAGCATTTACACTATTAGCGTCTTGGTTGCAAAACAAACAAACAAAAAAATGCAATCAGATGTAATGGAGAGGGGCAGATCTGACTTTGAAACTGCTTATCGGTTCGTGACTTGTAATTGACAAGTTATTAGCACACGAGCGTTCACACATGGCTTTCAGATAGGGCAGGGGTGTCAAACTCAAATACACAGTGGGCCAAAATTCAAAACTGGAACAAAGTCGCGGGCTAACATTAATATTTATTTGGAAAAAACAATCTTCCTCCAGATATAAGAATGAATCTTTTCTTATGGACTCAAATAAGTTTTGCTGGAAAACTGAATATGGAACAAGCAAAGCTTAATACTAAACAATATATATATTAGCTGTATAATACCAGTAGGCCATCTCTAATAGTATTTTGGTATGGCTTCGCGGGCCAAATGTAATTAGGCTGCGGGCCAAATATGGCCCGCGGGCCAGAGTTTGACACCTATGAGATAGGGATTAAGACCCTTCACAATTGGCCTGGAAGCTACATCCATGTTTTTACACTGTGTTGTTCAGAGGAGTAACCATATACAACTGATGCACTGTAATTCTCTGGAGCAATTAAAATTGCGTATATGTCCTTAGGAATTATTGAGGTATTCTGATTAAGTGGAGCTCTGGTCATTATTTTAATGATTAGACTTATAGTTTGCCCAGTTTGTGTTGCTAATTTTCTCTAATTCCACTAGTGCTGTGGGTCATGCTAACATAGTCTCCTCTCTAGTGATCTTCTAACAGCTATCACACATAAGACTAAGTCTCCAGCTGTCACTCACAAACCCTTTTGGTTCAGTGCTATGACCACTGAGGTTCATGCCAGAACTGATCTTCGTTCACTGTTTCCTTTTCTCCTCCAGGCCAATGAGGACAGTCAGGAGAGTCTGACCTCGTTCCCTCGTCGAGACACTATGGGCAGTTTCCTTCCTGACAGCAGCTCTTATGAGCTCCTTGCTGTTATTGGTAAGTAAAATCAAAGACATGCCTCAACTTAATTCAGTTTTTGTTGGCAGTAACAGATTTGTTTTGCCTGCACTGGCTAAAGAACAGTTTCTTGTGATGTTTTTTTTTTCTTCATAAAACTAGATCATCTAGGGTTTTTCCTGACTCCTAATGCACCTTTTAAGCACAGCTGGCCTCCAAATAGTTAAGGTAGTAGCTTTGGGTGACCTTCATTAATGTCGTTCTTGTTATTTCTGGACATTTGTTAAACAAAATGTATTGATGCTTGAGTAAAGAACACTCAACTTAAAAATAGTTATATATAAACAAGTGGTCAAAGGAACAATAAGCTTTTTCTATAGCAATAAGTCTATCAACTGTTCATTTAAAATTTTTATCACTGCTCTTTTTGCAGTATTGATCAGAATTTAATCAAATGTACACACACCGTGGTCACCTTCCTGTGAATTATGATAGCTCATGAGCTGGATCTGCTACTATATCAGTAGTTTAGAGTCCTGGTGGTTTTTCCTTCCTTTTAAACTAAAGCTGAATGTAATGAATTGTTTTAAGTGTAGCTAAATGTGTTGTTTTGGGGTTTTTTTTACTATTAAAGGTAGTATTTGGATTGTAAATAAAAAGTATTGTTAAGTTGTGTGTGTTTAGCATTTAACAACATACAACAACATAAATATTCAAACAAACAGAACTGGAGGATGACTTTGTCTCAGTGATTTGAATATTGTCTTGTAGGTCGGGGCTTGGACAATTTAATGACTGTTAACCTGGCTCGATATAGACCCACTGGGGAGCATGTTGCCATCCGACGGATTGACTTGGAGTCATGTACTAATGACATGGTTACCTACCTGCAGGTTTGAATCCCTCAATGCCTTCAGTGTGCATGACTTGACTCTTATGTCACCCTCCTCCCCATATTTCATTTTAGTGCTTTATTGAGAATTTATCTGTTTGCCAGCCTCGTAGTCTATTGCATTTTATGTAATCTTCTCCTCCCCATCTTTCGTTCTGACATAATAAGATGTAGTTTCCTTTCTGTCTCACAGGGTGAACTACATGTGTCAAAGTTGTTTCACCACCCCAGTATTCTACCATACAAGAGCGTCTTTATAGCTGAAAATGAATTATGGGTCATCACACCTTTCATGGCTTATGGTAAGAAATCCAATTTCTTACCTTATTGCTGTTTCTCATACGTTATGCAACTAAATTTATGTTAACAATTCATGAAGCGGCCTCTGCTAATGTCGGAGAGCTTTCTAATCACGATCATCTGTTTTTGAATCTTGCAGGGTCAGCCAGAGATCTCATCTGCACACATTTTACAGATGGTATGAGTGAGCTGACTATAGCATACATTTTGCTAGGCATGCTCAAAGCTCTTGAATACATCCATCATATGGGATATGTGCACCGGTAAGACAAGCATGTGGTTTAATGTATATTACCCTGTCATTAAAATACAATCATTCACACCTGATACGATATTGATTATCTTAAATGTTTTGGTTATGCAGGAGTGTGAAGGCCAGCCACGTTTTGATCTCTGCAGATGGACAAGTGTGCATGTCAGGTCTGCGGAGCATCTTTAGCCTCATTCGACATGGCCAAAGGGCCAAAGTGGTCCACGACTTCCCCCAGTATAGCGTTAACGTGCTGCCGTGGCTTAGTCCCGAAGTGTTGCAACAGGTACTACATTTTTCAACACTGTGAATGCTGTTCTGCGGTCAATGTTAGAGGCTGCAGAACTATAGTTTTCATGCTACATGCACAATGAAAATGAGAAGAAGGGTACAGATGAAACTGACAGTTTCTATTTGATTTTTTTTTTTTTTTGAAGAATCTCCAGGGCTATGACTCTCGATCAGACATCTACAGCCTCGGCATCACAGCCTGTGAACTAGCCAATGGACACGTTCCCTTCAAAGACATGCCAGCTACACAGGTAAGCAGAGATGTGTCAACGCCCTAAATAGTCTCCTATGTTACATTTTGACTGTAGAAAGTAATTTAATGGTAAACAACAATATTGGTGTTATTTTCATTTTGATCTAAACTGAAGATTAGGGGCAAAGCTGAACACTAAAACCACAAACTCTTAAGGTGTGCAAGAAGGTCATTGGGTTAAACTAATACTAGCTCATTTCCACAGATGCTACTGGAGAAGCTAAACGGGACAGTGCCATGCTTGCTGGATACCACAACTATACCACCAGAGGAGCTGTCCATGAAGCCTTCCCGTTCTGGTGCTGACTCTGGGATCTGTGAGGGTCCGGGACCGGGAGGAGTCCGACACTCCAACGGTGAACCCTCGTCATCGTCAGGAGGACACCCATACAACCGGACGTTCTCCCCACAGTTCCACGCCTTCGTTGAGCTGTGTCTACAGCGAGACCCAGAAAAAAGGTTGGCGAAACTCTCCCTGCATATTTAAAGTATATATGCGATAAATGCACTGCAACTGCTTTTAGGAATGTGTTATGACTGGGACACTAACTGTTTTCCCAATTGCATTTCTTCAGACCATCTGCAACCAGTCTTGTTGGCCATCCCTTCTTCAAACAGGTGTGCAAGATATCGAATTAATTATTTTCACTTGTGTACATGTATCAGTATATAGTATTTAAAGTGTTAGACAATTGTGGGAGAGTTAGAACATTTAAATTTGGTAAATAAGATATGAATTGGTCGTGTTTCAGTTTGTTCTCTAAATCTTTTTGTTTTCTTAGATCAAACGGCGACCTTCAGAGGCCCTACCTGAGCTGTTGCGGCCCGTGTCGCCTATCACCAGCTTTGAAAGCTCCCAGCCTCAGGACTCACCTTCTGGACTTGCCAGTCTGGAGTCCGGTCTCAGCCACCTGGAAGTAGATGACTGGGACTTCTGACAGTGGAGGATTTGGCGGGAAGATGTTCATATGAGAAACTCTCTGAGCAGATGGGACAAGATTAGTTTTTGTTATGGCCCCTATGTATATAATACTAAAAGGAGTGGCTGTTCTCAGACCCAGGTTACAAACCAGCAGCCATCCTGCCTCTTTTGACATCTCTCACGCTTTTGTTCTTTAGATATGCACAAGCTCTTGCACTGCACTGATTGCCTATTTGTCTCTCTCTCTCTCTCACACACACACCTACACCTGTTTACAGATTGTACTCTTACATTACAAGCCCCCTGGAGCTAAAACAAAACAGGACTCTCACTTCCTCATGCTAGTGTTGAGGTCAGAGTCTGTGTTTGTAGCTTAAAGAGTCTCACAAAACAAACTGGTTTGAAGCTGCTACTAAATATTCAGAGGGGACACTCTACCTCGTGTGAGAACAGGGCTGCTTGATGCGGCCCTTATGCTCAGTGAGGCCATAATGGCGCACAGCGGTCCTCACAGCTGACTCGGTTAGTCTTCTGCACCAGATGGAAGGTTTTGCGTTTACCCGGAGGGTCAATTAAATTAACAGCATGTAAACACATTTCTTAGCTCTGCTTGTGTTACAGTGTAAACTACATTTCATGTTTCAGGCAACTGTTCTGTTGCACAGAGGTTAAGATTAACGTGTTAGTTTAACCATCAAAGCATAGACGTATGTATTTGCTTGAACTTACTCTGGGTATTAACTCATGTCAAAAATGAATGTTTTATTGGTGCTTGTTTTGTCTGCATGTATATTTGAAAGTGAGGGCAAAGCAATGTGTTGCAAAACTCAAACTTGACTTTTAACAATAAACGTGGTTGACGTTAACTTTTTATTTTGATGGCACCACACAGTGAGGCTGTAAACCTTGTTAAAAAATGTTTTATTTCAATTTTACACAGACAAACACGTAAGGGGAGGCTGGAAATGTTTGGATTTTGCTAATTGTCTTCATCGGATGGTGGTTGGTCTGTCATGGCATTGTGCTTCTCCAGCTTAGCCATCAACTCTGAGAGAGGAAAAAAGGTCAAATAAAACACGATTAATGGGTATTATTAAGTTGCACTGATTACAATATTATCTTACAACCTTGATTATACTTATTGTGGTCAAAGACAGCTGGAAACCTGGTGGCCGAGTAATCATTGCTGTTATGTTTGAAGCCATCGCATGCATAGTTGATGCATTTTTATGTAAATTTTCCACACCCCAGTGCGCAGTGACAAAAAGTAGGCAAACACACATCTGCATGGACTCCTTCACTCAAAGTCTAAAGCCAAAATTGATTTCACTCGTAACTGAGCGGACCCAAGGATGCAGAAAGGACAATCAAGACATTTAAAGAAGTCGTCTGTTTTATAGAGATCTTGCCTACCTTTAGCAGGATTGAACACTCCGTGGGTTTGAGTATCGCACACATAACAGCGCTTGGACTTGCGGTAATGCTGAAGTGCACAAACCTCACAAAAGAAGTGCCTGCACCTGAGAGACATTAGACTTGTTAATGTTTCAAAAAACAGGGAACAGCTTGGCAAGGAAAAAAATGACATTAAAGTCTTACTTTGTGACTACGGGATTCTTATAGGATTCCCGGCAGATGAAGCACTTGAAGGGCAAGTCTTCCTCATCACTGCTTACTTCATAGTTCTCTTCATCTAAAAAAAATAAGACAGCGTTCAGGAAAAGATTGTTTATAGTAGGAACAAAAATGCAGTTCCTTCTCAACTCACCATTGGCTCCATATCGTCCCTCTTCCAGTTCCCTCTCAATCTGCCAGCCATGTTTGTAGTCTGATCTGTCGTGGAGAAACTTGCAGCTGTCTGATAGCAGGAGAGATGATCATGAGGAAAGCTTTATTGAACGACCAGTATTTTCTTAAATGTCTCACACACACTACAAATTGCTCTAATCTATAGATAAATAGAATAAAAAACACAACTCAATCGCAATGAAAAAAGGTCTTAAGAAAAAATATAAGGTTTTATGAAAACCACCCAAAAAAGTGTCTGCCAAATTTTTTCTTGTAAAGGCTTTGGCACAGTTGCAGTCACACTTGTGCCACCTGATGCATTTATACACGTAATAGTTTAATTTCCCACAAAACAAAAACAATACCCCAATAAAAACAAAGTTGTAAGGGAATTTGATATTATTGCCATTAACTTTTCCCTGATTTTCTGTCGTTTTTGTGAATTTTCCTTTTTGTCATAGTGACTTCTTTTAAACAAAATACTGCATGGTTTGACTTCCTGAAAAATCCAAATTCTTAAGTTCTCCCATTACATCACATGTTAAAAGTGTTTTCTCTTATAAACGCAGACCATTTGAAAGCAGTGAGTTCAATGTCATGTATAAGAAACCTGTTTGAGCTTTGTGACGTTTCGTTATTGTGCTGGGAGCAAAGTCTAAAGATGCGCTGTGGTCATTAAGAGTATGACATGGTCAGCAACAATACTCATATATGCTGTGGCATTTAAACCAAACTCAACTTGTACTAAGGGACCCAAAGTGTGCCAAGAAAATGTTTCCCAACAATATTACACCAGCAGCAGCAGCATGAACTGTTGATACAAGACAAGATTCTTCTATCGTCCACGTTAGAGTGAGCCTGTGTGAACTGTAGCTTGAGTTTTCTGTTCTTAGCTGTCACCAGTTCAACCCAGTGTGGTCTTCTGTTGCTGAACCTCCATCTGCATCAAGGTTTAACAGTTGTCCATTCAGAGATGCTCTTCTGCGTAATGTGTGGTCATTTAAATTACTGTTGCCTTCCTATCAGCTCAAGCAGTCAGACCAATCTCTGATTTCTGCCATCAAAAAGGGAAGTTCACCTGGAGAACTGCAGCTCACCTAATATTGTGAACCAGTCTCTGTAAACCCTAAAGGTGGCTCTGTGGGAAAATTCCAGTGCATCTACATTTTCTGAAATACTCAAGATCAGCTTGTCTGGCACCGACAACAATGCCACATTTGAGTCACATAAACCAAATTGCCTGCTTCTATGTGGCTGAATAGATTTTTGAACCGACAAGCAGTTGAACAGATACACCTATTGAAGTGGCCAATGAGTGTATGTTGTTCTAACTAGTGGGAGGTTTTACTTACATTTGTCCCATTTAACATGTAACATTTAATCTGAGTTGTTTTTCTTCCTCAATAGATGGAGGGAAGTCATTAAAAAGACATTAAAATGAAAAGTGTTTGATTAATTATACAAAAGACATGTATTTTAAAATATCATACCCACCTCCAAAACCACAGAAACCAGTCTCCTTGTAGTCTTTGCAGATATCTGGCTGGTAGTCCCATCTGACTGTGGCTCGCAGGTGTTCAGGAGCCCTGATTGGTCCTTTTCTGTTAAAATGATTGAACTGAATTATACATATCAGTATTAACTAATTACATTTCAGAACTAAAAAAAACCCCAAAACTGCATCAGTGATAGATCATCAACCATGCACCATCATAGGAAAGTCTTGAGCAGATGGAGCATTATTTAATGTCTATTTCAAGCCCCTTAAAAAGCTCAAGATTTCCTTTGTCTTTGTGGTTTATTAGCAGTTTTAATGATACACACATCCACAAGAGAAGTGCATTTGGTGTTCTGTTTACTTTTATTTTTTTAATGACACAATGTGACTGTGATGGAATGGATAAGCCTCGCCTTAATGCTCACCTGACCATGCCAGAGGAGGCATTGCCCATAGTTGTGTCTTTAGGCTTGATGAATTTTTGGTAGTTGTTGATGCCACGATAGATTTTATCATCATCTTTACCTGTCAGTTCCTATTACAAGAGGAAAAAGAAGAACATTCGTTCAATATTTAGTTGAAACTACTGGACTTTTTTTTTTTTTTTTAGCACTCAAGTCACAATTTGTGAATATGAACAGAACAGTTTTCCAACTAAGTCATTATATGATAGGAGTTGTAGCCTTTTCTACAAGGCTTTAACATCTACTACCTCTTGGATTTTCTGACTCCTTTCAAAAATGGCCTGGGCATCTTTGTCTTTCTCTGTGTCCAGCTGATATGTAGCAGTTGCACCCATGTCCTCCGGTCCCTCTGGTTTCTTGTTTTTGGATAGGATTGGGAAAAAGATTTACATTAAACACTTATATGTGAGCACATCAATAAGTTTGCAAGACTGTGGCTCTTAAGCAGTATACAGGACAGGGAACACACACACACACAAGGCAAATCAGAAGAGGCCAAATCAGCATGCATACAGATGAAACAACAAAAAGGTTGGATACCTTGCTCATTCATATCTCCTTTACTTTTAAAGGACAGCCTTTAAAAAGTCAGTATGATAGAAAAAGTCAACTCACCGCTGATCGTGTGGACTTGTAGGAAACAGTCATCTTCTTGTCTTCTTTCTCGTCTTCACTTTCACTGGATGATACAGCATCTCTCTCCACTTTCTTTGTCTGGACAAAAATCCCAAAACAAAAACAGTCACCTCTGTCTCATTTGAGGCTACTTTCATAGCAGTCTTGTCTGCAAATGTGTGTTTGCATGATTAGATTTATAAACTTTTTCAAAATATCAGGTTTGCAAGTGTATAAAAATGTTTGTCCAAATTCTAAATGTAAAAAAAAATCTATATATGCATTAACATAACACACTTTTAAATACTTTAGTACTCTTGTAAATCTAAATGCAGATTTAGACTTTTGCAAATCTAACTTTGTACCAGCTGATTCTGGATACATACTTGCCATTTCCAGTGCACGTTGAGGTACACAGTGATTAAGACAGAAAAAAAACAATTCTCGACAAACACGTGTCAAAAATATAAATAATAATAATTAAAAAAAAGAATAATCCCCTAATTACCCTCTGAATCATTGGGTTGACGCGAGTTTCTTTCTTTTCTTTTCTCACAACGAGGGTCTGGTCCTCATCACTGTTTTCATCTGAAAAGGACATGAGTGAGATACATTTGGTGAAAAAAATCTAGTAACTTGCCCAATAACTGACAGCAGACTTGCAAAATCTTAGAATAATCTCGGAGTTAACTAGGAGGAAAAAAACAGCAGGCGCATCCAGCGTTCCAAATTCCGAGGAAACGTAAACGAGGCACGAATGTGAAATTTGTTTATAACAGGAACAAAATATGTGTCATCTGCGGTACTTTACATCGTTTCTCCGATTTTTGGAATCAGATATAGTAGTTTTGCCTCTTCCCGTGTTAATAACACAGTGGTTATCTGTAAAGGACTACGAGAACAGAAACAAGTAGTCGATCATTAAAAAGCTCGAGCGCTGTCGGCACCGGAAGTTCACTGGAATTTAAATGATCAGAAAGTGAGTTAAATAACAAACCTTTCTCGCTATCGCTTGCTTTTCTCTTTCGCCCAGAGAATTTCCTATTAGATTTTTTAAACAGAAAAGTGCAAGATCCCTCCCGAGGCTTCTCTGATTCCGCCATCTTGACTCTGTTTTGTAAATATCTGCTCTCGCCACAGCACCCTCTAGTGTCTAGGAGTCATCTCAAGTTAGTCCCTGTACTGGCCAAAAGGAGAATCACACCTGTCCATTTACTCAGGCATTGTGAAGTTAGATTTAAAAAGACAACAATGATACTTCAGTGAGAAAGTGGCTGCAATTTTTGCGAGCCAGTCAATCAAAGGTTGCTCAATGATATTTACCTATTTCATATTTAAAAATAATTCATGAGAATTTAAGTTATGTCTTGGAAATCTTTAGAACTCTATGAAGTGCTGTAATGTTTTTAGAGCTGTGCCAGAACACGTTCGTCCACCAAAGGGGAATTTAGATGCTTGTCAAAAAGTTATAATTATTTAAACTGTTTTAAATGACTTGTTG